AGACTGTGGGGGGTGATATGCTGACTCTGTAAACCGCTTAGAGAGGGCTGAAAGCCCTATGAAGCGGTATATAAGTCTAACTGCTATTGCTGTTGCTATATGGCAGCTTTGGCCTAGAAGGCCTTTCCACAGCTTCATTGCTGTGGAATAAAGTGATGCACCCATTCCTAAATCCAGATTGTTGGAGAATAGTCATCCTCGTTGGGCTTGTGGGAAACAGCCTGGACTCACTACATAAACACAAGTTCTAAGTCTACTCTGAGATGCACTGATTATCTTTTTGCTTCCATATTCAAGGTCATGACCTATAAAGCCCTACATGGCATAGCAACTGGTCATTTGGAGAACTGTCTGATTCCCATATCATCCCAGCCAATAGAAACTGACAAGTGTTGGTGTGCTTTCAGTTAAACACCTTATCTGCTTTTTTATTGATTTGGTTGGTGGGCTTTGTTTTCAATTGTTTTGTTTTGTCTTTTTTTTAATATTGTATGAGGTGGTTGGAGTTCTGCAGCATCTAAATCAAATTAATTCAATTGAAATTAAATAAAATCAGTGTCCAGCCTATTTCTCCATCTCTCGATAGGGATTTAAATGTTGTCGAATAGAATGAAATTTATACGTAGGCTGCATGGAACTGTGCATACAAATCTAAAATTGCAGTTCAAAATACATATTTAAATTGGAGAGAAAATCTCAGCTTAACAGTCAGATTTGGCATTGAAATGTTTATTAAAAATTAATCCAGATAAACTCTACTCAAATATTTCTCATATAGCATTTTTAACCACAAGCTTGAATTCTTACAACTTCTTATACTTTCATTTCTCCTGCAGGCATATCTTCTTGTTTGACTTGGCCGTAATAGTATGCAAACGGAGGGGTGATAATTATGAAATGAAGGATGTAATCGATCTTCAGGAATACAAAATAAGCAACAACCCTACCACCGACAAGGAGAATAAAAAGGTAAACCTATAGAATAGGCCTGGACCCTTGACATGTTCTGCTTTAAAATACTAAAATTCCTAATTACACGAACTATTTAAAATGTCTATAAGCCCCTTTTCTGTATTTATTTATCTATAGCCTCTGGGTAGGAAACTGGGAATTAAGGAAAAAATGTTTATCTTCTTGATTCGTTGCTATTCTTCCCCCCACCCCTCGAACATTTTAATAAGGGGAAGCATTATAACATTCAGAGTGGTGTAATGGTGCATTCTACAGATTTGGTTTATCTGTTTAATATTTGCAATGGGAGTAAAAAAATGTATTAAGTTTCCAGGAAGCTCAAAAGTTGTTCTGGAATGTTGTTACAATTATTGTTATTACATTTCCCCCTGGAACTTGGCGAAATTAGAAATGGGTGTCCTCCAGGCATTTTCCAACTTGGTTGTCTCTCTGTTCTTAAAAAGTTAATTCCCGGATTTTCTTCCTATTTAAACAGTGGTCTTACGGCTTCTACCTCATCCACACGCAAGGGCAAAACGGCTTAGAACTGTACTGCAAAACCAAAGATTTGAAGAAGAAATGGCTCGAGCAGTTTGAAATGGCCCTGTGAGTAACCGTAATATATTCAGAAGTCCTTCGGGATCAGGCGGCATATAAATTTTATAAATAAATAAGACAAATAAAAATAATTGTACAGATCGACCGGCATTCAGTGATCAGTATTCTAGTAGGGATTTAAGATTTGAAGCAGTTCCTGGCACATGCAAAATTTCTAAACATAGGATTAAAAAGCTTTAGAGATGAAATGTATAGGGGCCAAAAATTTTTATCCATCATTCCCCTCTACCCTACTTCCCNTGTATGCCGCCCACTCCCTTGGGACTCTGGGCGGCTTACAGACAAGATAAAAAGCATTTAAAAATTAAAAATACAAGATACAATATTAAAATTACACACCATCCATTCTGACTGAGCGGGGCTGGATATTTATCAACAGCCCCAGGCCTGCCAGAACAGCCAGGTCTTGGCGGCTTTACAGAAGGCGGGGAGAGTGGAAAGGGTCCGGATCTCTGCAGGTAGATCGTTCCACAGGGCTGGCGCAGCTACAGAGAAGGCCCTTCCCCAGGGGGGCCGCCAGACAGCATTGTCCAGTCAACCATTTTTTAAAGTTGGGATTGGGCATTGAGATTATGTTCCTTACAGAGAAAAGGGTATGTGCATCTAAATAAAAGATGAATTAGGAAAAAAAAATGATCATGTTAATCTGGGGGCATGGACACATTTCCAGGAAATTTAACTAGTGTCTTGAAATATTTGCTGTGCTAGGACAGAAAAGCTGAAACCGAAAAGTAAAACCTGAAATATAACATAGGCTAAAAGTCTGTTTAAGAATCTCTAGATTTATTGGTGAGCTGAGAAAAAAAACAACACCTTTGGAATAACTTTGAGTAATGGCAATATAATCAGGGCTCTAGATTGAGCTACATTGATTATAGCACATCCATAATTTTCTGAGTTTCTCTCCATTATAATGGGATTTGATAATAACTCTGGCATTCTGTAATGTAGGAGCTGGTGAAGCACACTAATGACATAACCGAGAAGGCAAATCTAAAGTTGGCCCTTGACGCAATGAAGGTAAGTGTGATTGATTGAGTACACCCTCTCTAATATAAAACGAAAAGAGTTACTCCTAGAAAGAAATTGAAAATTAAACATTTTGAAACTTGCTTGGTTTCTATCTGGCGGCGCACTGGCATAACATGCTTGCAAATGAAAGCAAACAAGCTCATTCCACAATTCAAGGATCCATGTTTAATTTATTATTTGTCAAGCTATTTTCACTCTGGCTGTCGAATAGAAAAGTGTTCTGACCCCCCTCCCCCATCCCACATCAAAACACTCAGAGCCAAAGATACTTTGCGGAATTTATTCACAGACAGACAGGTCCTTGGCAGCAAACTGGCACAGATAAGCCGGGGCAGCAATCCAGCCTGCCAAGCTCACAATACTGTTCATCCAACGTTAGTTAATGCGTTGACTTCTGCAAAAGGGGCATGTGTACAAGCAGTCCTTTTATAGTCTGGAGAGGAGCCTAATTACCACCAGCTGAGTGCAATTACCTCCTGTAACTGCTTAATTGTTCCTTACGCCTATTAGCTGTCCGGTGCCGGGCATCTAGGAACAACTCCCTTGGCTCCTCCCCACTGCTGACATCCAGATCACTCTCCCTTGTCTCCTCCCCACTGGCCCAAGGCTCAGGCACCTCCTGGTGGCCAACCAGCCTCTTTGCACCCTGCTCGGAGTTGGAACTCTGTCCAGGGTCCTCCACATCCTCCAAAGCTGACTCAGAGGGCCCCTCGCTGTCGGAGTCTGGTGGCAGCTCCCACAGCTTCTGCTGGGCCACAACAGAAAAGGTTCTATGATGTTGCTGCACACCACATGCATACAGACTATACTTTGGCACACTGCCCATTCTGTTTCATGTTATCAGGTAGTCTTTTCAGTGCAAAAGGAGCTTAGACTTTGTGAATGTTGAGCAGAAACTGTGTCTTTTACAAGGGTGTTAAAAGATTTCAGGACTTGGGCCAGCAGTTGTGATCCCATTTCTCCTTCCCAAGGATGTGAAGTTGATAATAGGGGATACTGTGTGTGGCATAGCTTTTCCAATACGCTCATGCTGCCATTTAATATATAGTTGCTTCAATAACAGTAGGGGGACAGGAAAGAATTAGCCCAGCTGTTAAAACAATCTGAAGGAAGGAAAGGGAGGAGGAAGTGAAGGAGGGAAGGAAGGAGGGAGGGAGGGAAGCAAGGAGGGAAGGAAGGAGAGAAGAAAGGAGGGAAGGAAGGAGAGAAGAAAGGAGGGAAGGAAGTTGTGAAGAAAAGAGGAAAGGGAGGAGGTAAGGAG